AAAAGTCACTGACACACACACACACACGCACGCACGCACGCACACACAACCACACACACACACACACACACACACACACACACACACACACACGCACACGCACGAACACACACAACCACACACACACACACACACACACACACACACACACACACACACACACACACACACACACACACACACACACACACACACACACACACACACACACACGTACACGTACGGACACACACACGCACACACACACACACACAATAACACAATTAATAAACTCCATCACTAGTAAAGCTGCGGTTTCACACTAGCGTTTGAGAGCAGGAATGATTCATTATTATCGATGTTTCAGTGTTTTAGGGCCACTAATAAACAGTTATGGCCAATAAACACTCATCATCTGCATCTGTGATAAAGCCTTATTATTAATATGCAGCACAGCATTATATAATAAACCTCCTTAAACATCTCTGCTGCATGCGTTTATTATAGTCTATGAAGGAAAATCGTGATTTAAAAGAAGAGCAATTATTAATACAAACATTCAGCAGTTATGATTATTGTATTTATCATGTTTATTTTGTATTGTCTTATTCTTCTTCTTCTTCTTCTTCTTATTATTATTAATATTAAATAACTCTGATTTTGTTCAATAAATAATTAATTTTTATGATTTTAGTAAATTTAAGTAAGCATTGTCAAATTAAGCATGATTAACTGCTTCAACATTAAAGTTTTTATTGGCGTAGTGTGTGTACATACTGTGTAAATCTATTATGTATATATATAAAACAAACATGCATCATATATTTAGATACATATTTACAATTATTTATGGGTGTAATGGTGGCACAGTGGGTAGCACAATCGCCTCACAGCAAGACGGTCGCTAGTCCGAGTCCCGGCTGGGTCAGTTGGCGTTTCTGTGTGGAGTTTGCATGTTCTCCCCATGTTGGCGTGGGTTTCCTCTGGGTGCTCCGGTTTCCCCCACAGTCCAAACACATTGAACTAGCTAAATTGGCTGTATTGTATGTGTGTGACTGAGTGTGTATGGGTGTTTCCCAGTACTGGGTGGAAGGGCATTCACTGCATAAAAAATATGCTTGATAAGTTGGTGGTTCATTCCGCTGTGGCGAACCCTGATTAATAAAGGGACTTAGCCGAAATAAAATGAATGAATGAATAATTATTTATACTTATATAAAACCTTTTTTTAAAATATATTTTTGCATATAATTTTAGATATATTTCTGTATATAATATAATTATAATATTATTATTTTTATTTATAATAATAAACAACCACAATAAATGATCAATAAACATCAATATAATCATTAATAATGCTGCAAAATATTATATATATATAAATATAATTGCCCCCTTGTTTATTTTTTCCCAATTTTTGTTTAACAGAGAGCAGATTTGTTCAACACATTTCTAATCATAATAGTGTTAATAAGTCATCTCTAATCACTGATTTATTTTCTCTTTGTCATGATGACAGTACATAATATTAGACTAGATATTCTTCAAGACACTTCTATACAGCTTAAAGTGACATGTAAAGGCTTCACTAGGGTAATTAAGGTAACTAGGCAGGTTAGGGTAATTAGGCAAGTCATTGTATAATGATGGTTTGTTCTGTAGACTATTCAAAAATAAATAGTCTATCTGTCTATCTATCTATCTATCTATCTATCTATCTATCTATCTATCTATCTATCTATCTATCTATCTATCTATCTATCTATCTATCTATCTATCTATCTATCTATCTATCTATCTATCTATCTATCCATCTATCTATCCATCTATCTATCTATCTATCTATCTATCTATCTATCTATCTATCTATCTATCTATCTATCTATCTATCTATCTATCTATCTATCTTATGCTAGTAACATGCTAATTCATACTAGAATCATGCTAGTAACACGCTAATTCATGCTAGAATCATGCTAGTAACATGCTAATTCATGCTAGAATCATGCTAATTTATACTAGAATCATGCTAGTAACATGCTAATTCATAGTAGAATCATGCTAGTAATATGCTAATACATGCTAGAATTATGCTAATAACATACTAATTCATGCTGGAATCATGCTAACAACATGCTAGAATCATGTTAACAACCTCTAACTTAAAAAATACTTTTAAAACTTTAAGCTACTTTAAACTTAAAACTGCTTTAAAATTTTCAGTCTAAGCTTTCTCAAGCCAGCCTAAAGTTTGTCTTGACGAACTTTAATAATCTAGTTATAATTAATGCTATACATTTATAATTAACATTATAAAAAAACATGTTAATAAAATATTAAATATAATTTTACCCTAATTAAAATATGGCAAAATTATGACACACTACAAGTCATAATTATGAGATTAAATATCAAAAATAGACATGAAAATATAAAATAAAAACGTTAAAATTCCCAATGATGACTGAAGTGAATTCAAAATGACATCATATGGAGTCATTAATATGAGATTAAAATGATGCTTCAGAAGAGATGCGTCGATGCAAACTTTATAAAGAGATGAAAAGTGTCGATCTGTAAACTATCTGAGAGCTCCTGGACGTTTCTTTTATTATGACATTTATGGCGAATATTAAAATGATCAGCACGAGCTCTAATAAAACCCATCTGAACTCATGCATAATGCACAGCTCGATCAGAGAGCATGATGGGAACTGGTGCTGAGTTATCCTCACGCTAAATAGAGCTGTCAGTCTCAGAAGGAAACCACAGAATCAAAACAACAGCTCATTCATTCACTCCTTCTCGGCTCAGTCTGCTTATTAATCAGGGGTCGCCACAGCGGAATGCACCGCCAATTTAACCAGCATATGTTTTACACAGCGGATCCCTTCCAATCGCAAACCAACACTGGGAAACACCCACACACTCTTGCATTCACAAGACCAATTCAGCTTATTCAATTCACAATTCCCACATGTGTTTGGACTGTGGGGGAACCCGGAGCACCCAACACAGGGAGAACATGCAAACTCCACACAGAAACACCAACTGACCCAGCTGCGACTCGAACCAATGTCCTTCTTGCTGTGAGGTGATCGTGCTACCCACTGAGCCACCGTGACACCCAAAACAACAGCTCATAAGAACCAATTATCAGCCGCACACATCGCAAGTAACCATGTATAAGCAGGATAAAGCACATCCAGGATGGTCGCTTCACAGAATAAACCCTTCAACAGTGCTGCTGATAGACCTAACAGGCTTTATTCTGAGATCACAACCTCCTGGATCTGCTTCATCACTATCTGAAACAGGCAGTGGTGTCCCTGTTACCATAGAGCAGGTTCCAGCAGTGAAAGAGCTCCTGCATTCCTCTGATGTGTGCTTTAATGAAGCGTTTAATGAAGACGCACTGACTCGAGCAGCGCGTCCACCACAGGTCAGAGGTCACAGAGCGTCATGTGATCACTTTCACTGAGATCGGTCACGACTGAACGCCGATCACAGCTCTCTGTTACTGCATTAGTCTCCTGTCGCATTTATCTGTGATACTACAGAGTGGGTGAAAATGAACGTGCCGAAATTTAAAGGGCACCTATAATGCAGAATTCACTTATATAAGGGGTTTAACCCCCCCAACACCCCCCCCAACTG